GTGAGGGGATGGGTGAGGGGTGAGTGGGGGGGTGGGTGAGGGGTGAGTGAGGGGATGGGTGATGGGGGGTGGGTGAGGGGTGAGTGAGGGGATGGGTGATGGGGGGTGGGTGAGGGGTGGGTGAGGGGATGGGTGATGGGGGGTGGGTGAGGGGTGAGTGAGGGGATGGGTGATGGGGGGTGGGTGAGAGAGGGAGGGATAAATTGGGGGATGAGAGGGAAGGAGAAAGAGGGGGCAAATCAGGGTGGTGGGAGAGAGAGGAGTAATCAGTGGGAGGGCTGGAGGGAGAGGGGGTAAATTGGGTGAGAGGGGCAAATCAGGGGGAGGGGTAAATTGGGGTGGAAGAGAGGGGGCAAATCAGTGTGGGAGGGAGTACATCAGCGGGATGGGAGGGAGAGAGGGGGTAAATAGTGAATGGAGGGGAGGTAAATTGGGGGAGGAGAGGGGGCAATGAGGGAATTGAAGAAGGGTGGTGGGAAGTGAGAGAATGGGCAAGGAGGGAATGGGGGTGGGAGGGAGGAGGTAAATTGTGGAGTGGGTGTAAATGAGGGAGGGGGAGTGGAGTTAGGAGGGAGGGGTAAATCAGAGAATGGGATGGACAGGGGTAAATGGGAGAGGGAGAAAGAGAGGGTAAATCAGGGTTGGGAGGGTGTAAATAGGGAAAGAGGGTGGGTGGGGGGTAAATTGGGGAGAGAGGGGGTAAATCATTGAGGGAGAAGATTAGGTTATGGCGTGGCTATAAATCAGGTTTGAGGGGCGATGGGTAAATCAGGTCATTGAGGGAGTTAGAGGGAGTAAATAAGGTTCTGGGGCAGAGGAGGGGGTAAATCAAGTTTTTGAGGAGGCAAAGTCACTTGAGGGAGAGAGGGGCACGAATCAGATTGAAGGGGAGGCAGATTAAATTGGGTTATACAGGGAGAGAGGAAATAAATCAGTTTCTGGGGCAAGGAGAGGAGTAAATAAGGTTATTGAGAGGGGGTAAATAATTGAGGGGGGAGGGGTGTATGTCTGAAGGAAAAAGGGTAAATCATGTTATTGAGGAAGAGATGTTAAATCAGGTAATGGACGGTGTGTTACTCATACTTTAGGGTAGATTGAGTAAATCACATTATTGAGGGAAGGAGAGGTGGTAAATCATTATGGAGGAGGAGAAAGAGCAAATCAGGTTCTGGGATAGGGAGAGGGGTAAATCATTACTGTGGGGGTACATCATTGAGGGAGTGAATGGGATAAATCAGGTTCTGAGGGAAAGGGTAAATCAGATTATCAAAAGAGAGGGGGTAAATCAAGTTATTGGGGCAAAAGGGGGTATCTCAGTGTCCAAGTGAGGGAGAGGGGTAAATGCGATTATCGGGGAGAGAAGGATAAATGAAGGTTTTTTAGGTCGAATAAGGAGTAAAGGGGGAAGTAGAGAAACCAGGGTTAAGATCAAGCCTGTGGGGAAATGGGGTTAAATCAGCATTGGTGGAAGTTTTAAAAAAAAGGAATTTGGAAGAGAAAGCAGGTTGAGCCAGTTTTGGGGAGAGAGTAAGGACCTTGGGGAGGTAAAAGGAAGGGAGGGAAATGGTCATTGGATTGGGAACACTCCAGACAATGAGCAATGTCAACTCGCAGTCAAGCAAGGTAAGGTATCCTTTTGACAGGGAGCTCTTCAAAACATCCTAGCTAGTTGGTGTCTTGTGTTAATTAAGAATCATTGCACACCCTGTGTGACTGTCCTAATGGATTTTAGGAACATTGTGAATAATTAACATAGGTTCATGGACCTTGTCGATGAGATTCGTATTGCTGATCCTGAGTGCTGTATACAGGATATGTTTCTGGTTAAAAGCTACAGTCACCCTTTCAGGACCTCCTGAGATTTCTACAATATTAATGATGTTAGGTAGTATTTAGAAACCACCTCGGAAATAAGCATTAAATGGGGTTAGCTCGGGCAAGTCTGCCTCTGATCTGCTTTTTGTGTTGCTGTGGCTGTTTGTTGGTAGCAGGTGGCACAAAAATTAACATTTAGTACTTTTTTTAAAAATTAAACATAATGTTACAATACCTTTTAGGCCTGAGCGCAAAGTCAAATTATTATTTAAAATAAATGAGATTGTGATGTATATCTCTCCTGCTCGGCCTATCTGTGTGTCTTTCTATTACCCAGCCTGCCTGTATTATCTCTCCTCTGGCCTGGCCTCTGTGTCTCTCTCTCCATCTCACTTTCATCTGGTCTCTGTTGTGGGTCTTGCTCTGTATCTCACTCGGCTTGTTTGCGTGCGTCTGACTCCCTCGCAGTCAGCCTGTCTAGCGCTCAGCCAGGCTGCGCACGAGCGTGTGTCTGTCTCGCGCTCGGCCAGGCTG